AGATCTTTTTTATGCTCAAACAGCAACATTACAGACTAACTAAAGTTGAAAAAGTGAAAAAGCATAATAGGATCCCTTTAAATATTAAAATCAATGTGGTTACTTTCTGATCATCTGAAAACCAGCTCCATGTGGTAGCTATTTATTTCCTGTTGAACATTTAGTAAATTTTAATGACACAATTTTTTTACACATTGCATTCTTAAATAATTTTTCTGAACCTACATGTATGGAAATGGCAATGGATCTTTATATAAACCTTCATTTTTCTGTGCTTCTCAGTTCCTGAATAAGGTGGATTGGGTCGGACAGAGTGCAAATCGCAGCATTTGGCTGATCTCCAAACCACACAGCGCTGAAAAGCATCTCAATTAAAACAATGAATAGCCAACACACGCTCTCCTTCATCGTGTCAGGCACTCAACACTGAGCTAATGACAGAGGTCGCGGGATAATCAGCCATAATTAATGCAAACCAAGCTTAATGAGACTGTTTTTCCTGACACCTAACCTTACCTGCAGAGAAGTCTGAAAAACAATGAACAAAGATTTATGACTATTATGATCAAGCCAATAAACCACCACATCCTTTTTTAGATAACTTGACTTTAATATTTCTTAATTATTGTTAATAGTTGTTGTTAGATTATTAATGAAAAATGTATTTAAAGGGAAAGTTTGCCGCAAAGAAAAATTCTGTCATCATTTAAGACGTTCCAAACGTAAGTGTAATTATTAATTAAATTAAATAATTCTTATAAATTACTTTCTTCTGCTGAACACTGAAGAAGATATTTTGAAGAATGTTTATAACCAAACATGTTGGTAACCATTGATCTCCATAATATTTTTTTTCAATGGAAGTCAATGGCTATCGTCAACTGTTTGGTTACCAACATTCTTCAAAATATCTTCTTCAGTGTTCAGCAGAAGAAAGTAATTTATACAGGACTGGAACAAATTGAGGCTGAGTAAATGATGACAAAATTTTCACTTTTGGATGAACTATCCCTTTAACTGTGCCAAAAGCCCTAAATTAAAAAAAAAAAAAAAAAGTAATGCAAACTGGTAGATTTATTCAAATATGCAGCAATATATATAATAGCATAGGCTATTTCAGGGGGTCTAAACATTTTTACTGCCATACTTGAACTTTGCTGTATTCATAAAACTAAAACAACGCAATGGGAATCTGAAACTAGATACGGCTCAATTCCCAACTTCAATGTAAGTCTATGGGATCTGTAAATCTGATCGCTTACACATGTATTAGCACAACTCTTTTAAAAATGTAAAAAAAAAAATATATATATATATATTTGAGGTATCATTCATGTGAAGTTACATGTCAAAATTTGCCAAAATCTTTAACCCCAAGTAATTGCGATAGTAGTGATGCTTGCTGTAGCGAAGCCCAATAATTATCACATATCACCCAGAATCAGACTCATACCGGGAAGTAAAACAGGGTTGGGAGGGTCGCTTTCAGTCCCCTGCTGGCTTTACCCCATGGGCGAAATACATTAGCTTCTCACCCACAACATTTCATGTTTCTCCATGCCAAACGCCCAGTCTTATGCAAATCTGAGCCAAAAACAGCTCAACAGCAGCAGCAAACGATGATATGACCTCAATTGGCACATGTCCTCAGCCTTGTTGCCTTTTATTAAATACAAGCAGAAATTAGACTACATTTCCCCAGTGATGTGATATCCTGATGTCACTTCGCAAGGACATTAGGCCTGTTATTTTTCTTCTTAGGTGCTAAAGGCAGGGGGACGTTGAGGGAGAGAGAGATTTCTGGGTAATGGGGGGTGGTGAGGGGTTATTTGGCAGCTGGTTTGTATCTAAAGCAACATGCAGTGCATAAAATAACTCTAAAGCTTGTAGTTCCTCGTGGATCTGTGGCTACCTTTAAGGGTATTTTAGGACTAGAGGGGACATATCAGGTGCTGCAGGTTGACAACTGAACTGATAAGCATTGATATGGACTAGGGGTGTGCGATATTTAACATCTAGAATATCGTAATTGCTGTTTTAATGATGTGCGAGCTGACATTATCGAGTATATCACTCGATTTGCAAAAAACAAACAAAAAGCATTCACTGCATGATGAAGCCTATTAGAATGCAGTAAGAATGGCCTTACAGTATAATTCAAGTTATGAAAGCAGTTTTGGTGTTTTATATTTATAAGATGATCTAGTCAAGTAATATCACACAAGCAAGAGTACCATTTCCCCAAATTTCAGGCATGAGCGTGATCATGAATATGATATTGATCTTATACAACAGTTCAACAAACAATGAGTTTGAAAAATTGAGTGAGTTCCATTTTAGACAATATGTGACTCTGGACCACAAAACCAGTCTTAAGTTGCACGGGTATGTTTGTAGCAATAGCCAAAAATACATAGTATGGGTCAAAATTATACATTTTTCTTTTATGCCAAAAATCATTAGAGTATTAAGTAAAGATCATGTTCCATGAAGATATTTTGTAAATTTCCTACCATAAATATATCAAAACTTCCTTTTTGATTAGTAATATGCATTGCTAAGGACTTCATTTGGACAACTTTAAAGGCGATTTTCTCGATATTTGGATTTTTTTGCACCCTCAGATTCCAGATTTTCAAATAGTTGTATCTCGGCCAAATATTGTCCGATCCTAATAAACCATACATCAATGGAAAGCTTATTTATAAATAAATAGCTTTATTATAAATCTCAATTTCGAAAAATTGACACTTAAGACTGGTTTTGTGGTCCACGGTCAAATATTGTCTGGGGTTTTTTTGCTCATGAAAATATTTCTAAACAAAGCCAGATTATTTGTGTGTCTCAGAGATACACTGCAGTGTTTCGTTCCTGAATTAATTTGTCTTTGAAACGAATCATTTGAGTGATTTGATGATCCATTCATAAAGACAGCAAATGGCTGCATCCAAAATCGCACACTTCCCTATTATATAGTAGGGAAGTAAAACAATATGTGACAAAATAAGTATGTCTGAATTTACAGTACTCATAAAAGAGTAGGCAAAAAGTACCCGTGATTCTGAAGTGTGCATACGATGGATACTTTACTATCCCATTAGGCAACAGGGGAGGATTTAAGAATGGCAGTAACATGACGCACATTCATACTACTGTACACACAATCATATCCAACATACTCTTTTTGCAGTTGCATAGCAATTATTTATTTAAAAAAGTACCTACTCAAGAGAGTACAGTATTTGATTTCGGACACAACCTCTTGCTTCATTTCTAAATGAATCAGCCATTTTGAACAAATCGTTTGAATGAATGATTCAATTAATCACTCATTAAGACAGAAACTTGCCACCACCTATTGGCAGTTTTAGTGTCATATTTATTTATTAATGAGAGGCCTAAACCAGCCAAAGTGCCAGCACAAAAACACACACACAAAATATTGTCATCAAATAAATCCCCAAAAATATTGAGATATTATTTTTTGTCAAAATTGCATCCTTCTATGGACCCTTTTCACATTTTTAGGGTTCCCAGAAATGCAGTCATCATAATTAAATGGCAATAGTAGTAAATGAAAATACATTACAAATATGTTACAAAATATGCACAAATATAATGCAATAAAAAAAAGAAACAATACAGCAATTATGATTATACAAGATGTTTTACATTTACATATGATAAAAATTCTAAAACTTTTTTCCTGGTGACATTTCACTAAACAAGTCCTCAAGTGAGCTTATGGAATAAAAATATTTACTTTTTCTCTAGATTTACTAAAGCAGTCTATGAAAATCCCTATTGTTCACTCCAGTGAACCACAAACTACTTTAAGAAGTCTTTTAGAAAGTAATAAACCCATCTCTAATGAGCTTCAGAAGTGTGCTATTTTTTCTAAGCAATCAAACTCACTATTGTCATCTGCTGGACAATCAAAATCAGCCATTTTAGGAACCAGAATAGCACTGATATTTTGGCATGTGCTCTTTTGACGTGGGCCAGTAAGCAACCACACAAATACTGTAGAAACCACATAGCAAGACCTTTGCAACCAACTAGGACTCTCTACAATCATAATGGCAAGTTTTGCATGGGCAAGTATCACTCATGTTACTACTAACAGTAGACTGCCATCCCAGAGTTCACAGATCCTTTGACAAACTTGGTTCGTCCCCAAGACAAACGATGGAGCAAGGCTACAGTTGTTTTTATGGACACAGACTGTTTAAGAGACTTCAGGCTTTACCCTGCGCTTGTTTCTGCGCCTTAGCAACGCTCACTGGCAACCACAGTCGAATTTTGATGAGGATAATAAGGAGTACACATCAGTCACTGGTGGATGGTCTTTGGCTGGTTCTCAGGGACTGATCTAAGGGACAATAAGCCCTTTTTTTTAGTAATGCTGTTGGCTTTGGAAGTAAAACTGCATCTGGTCAAGGGGAAGTTACTGCCTGACAACATCTGCTCGGCCTCAAAAAAACTCTCCGTACACTGCCTTTCATTCTCACAGACTGTCCTCCCAATAAACCAATGCTTTAAAATGAAGCTTCTTCACTGGTTCTTTGTGACACATTAAGTTTAGCAAGGAACACTCGTGTTATTAGGAACCATTATTTGCTGTATTTGGTTCTTGAGTTGGTTTTTTGGAGTTCTTGATCAGCATATTAAGTCAACTTGAACTTAGTTACTCAAAAATGTTTTCCAATCATGAGAACTTATCAAAAGCCTCCCACCAGTGGGAGCTATCATAGCTATCTATGGTGTCACCAAAACTACTTGTGCTATAAACATAGAAACATAGCTGAGTAAAAAAAAATAGCTTTCATGAATTAGAAAGAGGAGAATAAAGACAGTTCAAAGTCTCGAGACGCCTGCATTCTGTTCCAATCTGTTGCACTCCATCTAGCTTTTAAAATGCAAGAAACACTATGCAAACGGCCCCTAATAGATTGAAAAGCAACAACTATGAAGCGTGAAACATTTGACTTGTAAAGTAGGGTCCTTTGACAAAAAGTTTGGGAATCACTGTTCTTTGGTATAACTGGAATCATATGAACTTAAAAATAGGAACGTAAAGGGACATTCTGTCATCATTTACTCACCATTATGTGGTTTCAAACCTATAAAGAATTTGAGATCTTTTGAAGAACTTTTGGAACCAAACAATATTGGAGTAAATGTGACTTCCATTGTATGGACAATAAGAAACACACATTTCTCATTTCTCAAAACATTCCCTTTAATGTTCCACAGAAGACAGAAAGTCATACAGTTTTGAAACTGATTCCCAAAGCCTTGGGAATATTCTGATATTTTGAGTGAAATGAGGTGGATGCAACTCATTTTGTTTTATTATATTAATATGAGTAAAAGTATACTAGTAGAATGAATAGGACATTTTAATGTTATGTTTGAGTTGAATAATCGAATTAAAAATAAAAAACACTCTCCAACTACTAAAATATGTCTAATATATACAGTGTGCTATATAATACAAATGTATATAATATAACATATAATATTTCATTGAACAACCAAAAGACAAACATATACATTTACTCATAAATTTAGATGCTGGCATGTGGAAAGATTACAGAGCAAATACCATTATAAATATAATATATAAATACATTTTAATATAAATATTTTATAAAATTAAGTA